TTAGAGAAACTTTATGAACCTTTGATACAACAAGCACAATACAGTTCACATATATCATAGTAGACATGGATACCATTCTTGACAACACATAAAGCCATTTATCACCTTTAAGATGCATTAAATATCTCTTGTACATTACCTTTACTTTTTACTACAAATCCTTACCTCAAGAAACCCTAAAGTATTACTTAGTGCAATGTGTGAATAGTGTCCCGTTCCACCATTAAAATCAAAGTATTACCTTAAGGTCACCAAAGGTGAACATTCATGCAACCTCATCAATCTAACCATATACATTCAATAATGACATAAGTACATCATAAATATAACCTTCACATAAGAACCATCACCTAAGACAACACCCAGTCACAATAACGCAATGTGCAAGTAACATTCCATGACACTACTCACACCAAGTGCTCCTGAGAAGCCACCCTAGACTAGGCACATCATATTCAACAATTCACAACATGTTCATTTATCATTAGACATAAGACCAACATACTTCATTAATGTTAACATAAAAACTCATTCATTCATTACATCTTAGTCATAACCCATTTAGTTCATATCATAGGTAAACCACCCTCACAACCCCTTTCACAATATTAGTGGGCAATGTATAGATAGAGTCTCATACCTCCACTTATATTAATCAACTCTATCTAGAAGACATAAGTGCAATTCACATGCATATTCATAATTCATCTCTTGACATAAGTGAAGTCAAGTTTAACATGCATTCATATCAACATACATAAACCATAGTCCTTATTACATAAAAGAGCCTAATCATAACCTCCCTTAGACTCTACTTGTGCAATGCGTAAGTAGGGTCCATAGTTCTACCTACACTAAGTAACTCTTGAAGAAATCATGACTAGAGTTCATATTCTTATCTCAGTTCATTTCTTACCTTTCAGGAGACATTGCAATAACCGACATAGACCATGTAAGATACATGGAATCTGGTGTTCTACTCACATACCGAAAAGAGAAGGTAATACTTACCAAGGTAGGACCTACAAATATAATAGCTATCTAGTGGATCCACTAAGCTAAGACCTACGAGGGCACGTAGTTATGGAACAAGGAGATTGCTACAAGGAACCCGGACCTGCTAGACGTGAAGGTTTCATCTCATGAGACAACATCTATATTGGGAAACTGGACTTGCTAAACTTAAGGTTCTTCTGTGGGAAGCCAGACTTGATAAATATGAGACCCCCACTCTCATCTTTCATCCTCACTCGGTGCTAAGATCAAACTCCCTTTTAGACATCTTTAAGCCTTTATTTAAGATTAGATCACAAAGTAGGCTTTAGGGACTCAATCCCTCATATATCATATATTTCAAAGGTTTCTAAGATAAGAATGACCTTTAATCATAAAATCTACATTATGTGAGGATGTCCTTTCACATAATCATAACATTCATAACATATTCTAGTTTAGAGTACAATTGAGGAAACCTTTCAAGAGACTCACTTTCACTAGATTATCATAAACCTTATTCATTCATACATTCATGTGTGTGTATACATATGTAAGAAAGCCTTTCACATAAACACCTTTAGATAACGCATGTTCATACTTCTCTAATCATATACTTTCATGCATAAGGAGATATAAAGGTGCATATGAGAATTTTCCTTTCAATCAACACCCTAAATATATCATACTCATAGCTATGCATGGGGTGTGTGTACATATTGGTCCTCATAATGACAAAATAGCAACCATATTGGCATCAAGGAAACTTCCCTTCAAAGGATCACAACACACTTACAATATCCCTCAAGTCATGATCAACTCACTTATAACGCATTAAAGGGATTCTAGACCACACACCCACATTCCATATTAGAAGACAAGAGTACATTTAACATTTGAACAGATAACTACTAACATGCATAAGTTCACATACTCATATAGGGACCATATAGGTAAGGGTCATTCCAAACTAGTACTTATCACAATCAAACATGTAATTACCTCACTGTAACATTCACATACACATTATATTTCACATTATCAATACACCTTTATCATGATAATAACATTGAGGATTACATACATAATCTTCATGACAAACATTCATACTCATGTTCATCATAATAACAATTCACTTTGCATCTATTGCCCTCAAGTCCATCAATTCACATAATATAGACTAGAAGTTAGGTCAACTAACAAAATCTCCAAGACATGATCAAAATAGATCGATCCTTCACAAATCATAATCAATGGATATAAATAGTTATCTTACAATCCAATCCAATCCAAGTAGAATTCATTTACATAAAATCATATTCACAAAGACCCACATTATAGGCCAATTTTGAGAATAAGGAGGATCATGGATTCTAAGTTCCATAGGAAATCATCATAAAAATATTAATTCATCATTTATTCATCATTAGAGAAAAGACATAAAGTCAACATTCAAGTTGTCCCGAATTTTCAAAAAGACACCTTAGCTGTGCAACCGTCCTATTACCCCACTAAACAATTTTGAATAGATATAATTATATTATATAATTTTATTTTTGTAAGTACTTTATTACAAAATATATTTTCTTATTTTTATTGTTATATTTAATTTTTTTCCTTTTTATTTTTTCTTTCTCTTTTTTTTTCTTTCTTCTTCAAAAATCCAATCTCATCTCATCCATTAAAGTTTCGTACTTTCAATGTCATCATTCTTACCACAACTTCACCTTCCTTTTTATTACTATTAATTTTACTGTCTTTGATTTTAAAATTTTATCTAAATATCTTCTTTAATTTCGAACAATTTGATAAACACATTAGATTTCTTGATGATCAGGAAATATCATATAGTTTTCTTTTATCCGATTTTAATTGAGTTCTTTCAATTTTTGTGAATTAATTGATTTTTTTAAATTATCATTTCTAATTCAAAATTTATATGAAAATGAGTAGTTTATGATACCTTCTAAATTTTGTTAGAAAAATAATTAATTTTTGCTATCAATAATTTAATAAAGTCTAACAAAATAATATTAATTTTATGAAGAATTTGACCAAAAGAACAAAAAAAAAATGGAAGTAGGGCTCAATTTTACATGGAGTGGATGAGGTGAAGAAAAAAAAGATATTGGAAAAATGAATCCCTTGAAAGTGGGAGGTGGGCGACGAAGTGAAATTTAAGATAAATCAAAATTAAAAGTCAAAAGTAAGAGAGAGAGAAATAAACTTAAAAAAATAGATAAAGGAAAAACTTAAGATAAAAAAAATATATTTTAAATTAAATTAACAGGTGTCATATAATGATTGATGTGTGAATACACTTGCTTCTTAAAACTTGGTTCAGATCAAAAAATGGTATAATAATATATTTTAAAAATTATTTAATGGGTAATAGGACAGTTGCAAAGTTAAATTTTCTTTTTAGAAATCCGAAACAACATTAGTGGTGACTTTATGTCGTTTCTCTCATCATTATAATGACTTTGAAAATCATTTGACAAGGAACCCATACGTAGATTGAAAATTGGAAAATTTGATCATTAAACTCTTTGGAAAATCATTGAATGAAAGGTTATTCAAGAATCAAGAGTTACCATACCTTATTGATTGAAAACCCATGAAAATTGAAGAAGAAATCACCTTAAACCCATATCCTAGCTTGATCTTGAGCGTGGCCTCCAATGTAGTTTTGAGAGAATCTATTTTGGGAGAGAAGGGTTCAATTTTTTGAGGAATAAATTCTAATTCTAGGTTTAGAGGATTTAACCTACTTAAAATGCCCAAAAATAAGTAAAATAATTGTCTCCAAAATACCCAAAACACCCTTAGACTTAAGTTGGACTTTTAGAAACGTCAAACTCGATTTTTATTGATTTATCCACATTTGGGACGTGGTTGCACGTCGCGGAGTTATTTCCTAGATTTGTTTCATGAATTACTTTAGGGGCAGTAAGACTCGTGATGGACACGCGATGTGGATGCTTGTTGAGTTCCAAGCTCGTGACGCACATTGATCTCCTCATCTTGTTCTTGGTCTTGCTGTCTTGACAGCTTCTTGGCCCATGTTTGGGCCCTCCTCAAGGACCATTAAGGTGGTCCTTTGGGAGTCGTACCCGAAAGTTTTTACCCTATTAAGACACTAGGGTCACCTCCACTAATTTTAGAGTCAAAACGACCACTACAACAAGGAAAACATACTAGAATACACTAGCACAAAAAGACTAGTTTTCAGCCGCCTTGATTGTCTCTTGACATTTTACTTCCAAACTCTTCAAAACTGACATCAAAGACTGTACTTTTTTATACTTAACTCTTTTTTGGAATGATAAAAAATTTATTGGTTCTTCATGTGTCTAATGGTTATCGTGAGTTCCAACCTAAGTTGTACGCTTGGGTTCCTGGTCATTCAAAAGCCACTCTTAGTCGCCTAGCGTAGAGCGAAATCAAATCCTCATTTATATCGCATTTTATACTATGTCGAACAAACACCCAAGACATGTTGAGCCCATTAGAAGCTCACCTTGAGTCCAAAATGGCTCACAACCTAAACGTAGGTTCATACTTATGTGTTAAATTTGAATGATATATGTGTTATTTGAAAAGTCATTGTCCTCAAGGTTGAGAATAGAACTAATCAGAAATTCTATGATTATTGTTTTGATTTTAGAAATTAAAAAGCTAATTAAATTAATTTGATATTAATATTAATCAATAATCTATTTAAATCGAGCCTCGAACAAGTAAAGAGTTAGTTCCTCCGTTTAAAAAAGAATGACCGTATTTTTTTTAGACTGTTTAAAAAAGAATGCCCATTTCTTTTTTGGCAATATTTTAAGTCTAACTTTTCACGTGGTATGTTTACGGCACAAGATTTAAAGATATTTTGATAAATTTCACATAATTTTAATTTATAATCATAAAATTGAATTTTTTTTTTGTTAAACACTGATCCAAGTCAAACTAGATGTAGTAATATTTGTGAGAGTGACATATTTTAGTAACACCTTCAATTTTCGTGCAAATAGAGTCGAACAAAGAAGAAGGTGGCGCAAGATGGATTCAGAATAGGAGAGCTTAAAAGGGCTCGTTTGCGACAAAAGTTACTACTTGCAGGGAGTTCCTTCATCTCAATTCAAGAATGGTTGAAGTTGAGAACCATTCGTCTCCTCCTTCTGATCCGGCTCCAACAGATCCAACAACCCCACATCCTCAAACTGGGTTCAATCCCAGCAGAAGTAAGTGCAAGATTTGTAGAATTGGGACTGTGGGAATTTATTTTTAAGCGAACCCAACCCAATTCTTATTTTCTGATTTTCTCCCTATATATATATATATATATATATATATATATATATATATATCTGGGTGTCATTCTAGAGTCTTGATTGAAACTTCTATTAGTATTTGAATGATATTAAGGTTTCATGATTTTGAACTGATGTGTAATGTTTGGGATGAAATTTGAAAACAATCTGATTTGATTTGTCTCTCTTTTGGTTTAGAGTCATTCTTTATTTGCACTTGTTCGTCTATCTCAATGGATTTTCTTGAAACCCTAAAGACCAAATAGACTCTTTATAGAAAAAACTAAAGATTTGTGGTCTTTTTTGTCTATTGGGAGGATCCGGGTGGGGTTGGATGTATAAAAAAGAATGACCATTGCAATAATATGTGTCGTCTTACTTATGTTTGGGAGTGTCACAGTTGAAGGGCCACAAATGGTAGATATACCTATCAAAGAAAACAACTTTCTTGTTATGATCCTAAAATAAAAAAGGATTAACCCCAAGTTTCTACCTTCTTGATACCTGTTTATAATATATGTGAACATAGGATCCGTCATCGTCACATTGGTTGGCTTTTCGTTTTCTTTCTTTTCGCTTCCCATTGTTGTGTGTCACTGAGGCTGTGGTCTTCTCTTTGCAAACTCCGAAATGGTGATTTTCTCTAATAGATTATCTAATTGTGAGTTTGGTATCTTGAGCAATTTTCTGCTAATGAGATAAGACAGTGATTATTTGTAAATAGATAATTTAGTTATCGTTGTCTCTTGCACACTTATCTTCCAATGAAATATTACGAGATAAATAACATCACCTCCAAAGAATTTGTTAACTGAATATTTCTTTATAACTTTATTGATCTGTTGTGTCCATAAAATTTTTGTTTTGGAATGAAGGAGGATTTGATTTGTTTAATTTAACATGTGCTGTCTCTTCTAGATTATTACAGCTGTTTGATCTAACTTGTACTGTTTCTTCTTGAGTATCATAGTGATTGGTATCATCAGAAGGAAGGCCATGATAAAAGACTTAGCTGCTATATACCATGCAGAATGCCTTGCATATTGTCAAGAACTTTTGGAACTTCAAAAAAAAGCAGAAGAGGTTAGCAATATTGTCCTGCAACTTTTATGTTCATTTTACTTTGAAGAAGGCCGCTGCTTTCACTTGTGTTGTGAAATTCATGCTTCAAGGAATGATTGAAACCTATTTTTTCTGTCTTTACTTAATGAGATTAATATCTACCGTTAACCTAAGTTGCGTGGACTCTTCTTTTGAAGAATCCTACACACACCTGTTGACATTATTGAAGAATCCGAGTTACATAGCCATCAACATATCATGGTCATAACAACAAGCTTATGCTTGAAAATTTTCTTTCTTTCTCCCACTAGTTGCTAGTTGCAGTTTTACTATTTTTTAGGAAGATAGGTAAGTGAGTTGTTTGCATTTGCAGACTTGTATACTAGTCATTGTCCTTGTCCTTAATTGCTCTGTTTTTATTATTGAAAAGATATGACGCTAGAGCCTAACTTAACCCCAAAAGCTCGCACTCTTCATTTTTTACTAGACGGTTTCATTTGCTAGCTGTAGACATATAATGGTGCTCCTCGCTTCACTTCTTTCCCTGTGGTCCTTATTTAATGATTGTCTAGTTCTTGCTTATAAAGACATTGCATCGAAAACATAAAAATGATATACATACATTACTGAGAAGTATCTATCATCAATGGAGGAAAGAGAGGAGTTATGGGATTGTGGTTGGAAATTTTAAGAGAAGGATATGAAGCTTGTACATGTGTTGATGAGAATATGATGTTTGCAACCATCTGATACCACATGAGCTACGTACAACTTGAGGGGCTAGATAGGAAGCTCATCAGAAGATGCAAGCATTTTATTATGTCTGAGAAAAAGATTGTTTTCCCATTCAAAAGAAAATGTTGGTCATTCCAGGTTATGTATTCTTTTTTTTGTAGAAGAAACTAGCTCTAACAGTCACTTAATCGCTCTGACAGTTCCTTGATAATTACTAAGTGACAAAGAACCAGAGATGAATGAAGTGTTTGTATCGAGGTTCCGCTGTTGTAACAGCATCTGCACTGGATATTCATTTGTTGTAACAGCATCTTTACTTGGAGGTTCAGTTATAATGGTTCAAAACTTTGAGAGTTGCTTGGAAATGATGAATGTCAGTTTGAGTGAATTACAAAAAAATTAACTCAGCAATTGATGTTTGTCGTGTTCGCTCGTCTTTTTAATCACTCAGCTTCCATGTATCAGGTGCTCGTGTCTAAAGTGGTATGATAAAAAGAAACTGCTTAACTCCTAAATAAAGTCTCAAGACTTTTGAATTCTGTTTAGGCCTTGTTTTTTCTTTCTTTGATAGCTACTCATTTTTCCCAATTATTAGAATCTAGTAGTAAAAAGATGGATATGTATCAAGTATGATGCCCACTGGCTCTTGTTTCCCCTTTTTCAGAAAGATACGTTAATTGCTGTGTTTATTTTTCTTGTATTGTTCTATCCATCATCATAGTAACCTTTTTTTTCCCTTTCAAATGCTCCAGTCATTAATTGAAATGAAAGCTGCAGAAGAGTCAAGGAGAGAAACAATGAGGCCCCCAAAACGTATGAAGAAAGCCCGTTAGCACCTAATGTAAGATATGTTCGCAATCTATTCTATGCGTTCTTGAAAGATTCTCTCGGCCTTTTAGCATTGGCAACCTGGAAATTGTCTTTTACGGATTATAGAAAGCTACTAGTTTGTTAAATCTAATAGATACAGCTTACTACTGAAGATTAAGATGAATTATATTTTGTTATATCACTTTAGAGGTAAAGAGAAGTATGTTGATGAAGCAGGATCAATCATAGAATCCATGTAAGTTGAGTACATATGCTAGTTACATGAGGACCATGCCATAAAAATAATACGAGTTACAATTTAATTTAGAAAATATATTGGCTTAAGTCATCTATAGCCCCTCAAAGTTGTCCGCATAATTCATTTAGACACCTCAACTAAGACTTGTACCAATTGAACACCTTTACCCTCCCAAATTTGAACCATTTAGACATTTTTTTGACAATAAGCTAAAAGTATAATGTGTGTGAAATACACTCGCGATGACATGACAATTTGACGAATTAAATACTGACATTTGGTATTTTAGAGTCCAAAAAATTTAATATAAAATATATTATAAAGTAAAAAAAAAAGAAATTATTTTTATGTTAAAAATTAAAAAAGAAATCATATAAATCCTATAGCTTACCTACCCTTCTATTCCATGGAGTCCAAAACTCTTCTCCTTCTACAGTGCCCCAGCCCCCACGACAACCCTCTCTGTAAATATTCTATTATTTTTTAATCTTCTTAGTTCATCTGCATCATAGAGTTCAAGCAAAC